AGCGGTCAGCGAAGTTCGCTTCACGGTATTTCGCTGTACGATGATGATGATGATGATGATGATTCCGCGCATAACAGAGTTGTCGAGCAATTAGTGCTTCCCTTCTGAACCTGATATCCATACGGAGCTGAAACTATCCCGACCTTTGTATAATTCCTCCTTTTCTATGTCCTCTTCCTTTTGCTCTGTCCTCCAGTTCGTTGCACTCCATCATACACCTTTGTGACTCATCAAACATCTGCCAAATTGCGTTACTAGTGTTATGGTTCCAAAAGACTTTCAGCGAATTATTTACTTTCAGAACGGCATCGGACAGGGATAAATAAAATTATACGAATATTAATCTCCCTTAAGGATATCAAGCAGCGAAGTATCACAAGATTATTGGAACTAAACTTATCCCTCGGTGGTTTACGCAGTCGTTGCATGATTCGTTCTTGAAGATCAGAACGATCAACGGTTCACCCCAAGGTAAAGGTATACGCTCCTCCGACCAGATGTTGTGAAGTAAGCTAGTAATCGAGTCAACTAGAGAGTCACCACCCAGCTCGAAAAGAATGGAGAGAAGCCCATCAGGTCCTGCTGCTTTCTCTTTGTTTAGCGGTTGAATACAACCTCGCACTTCTAGTCCCTTTGGGGCTCATGTTACCACTTACTAAGTTTTCGTTGTCATCGCCGGAATAATCACTAGCACCAATCCAAATGAACTGCTTACAAAAATGATGTACACAGTGACCAAGCGGTTGTTCTTTATGCTCTGTCCGCTTTTATCGCAAATGTTTTCACTGACAGATACGCGACGACTGGTGCTGCGTAACGGTTGAACAGTCTTTGACCAATTCTCGATGCAGAAACTACTTCCATTTCACTGACTCTTTTGACCCACCTGTTTTCGCGATCCTTCTCAGGGCTTTTCCTGACCTGTCACGGACTCCTGAGAGTTCCTGTCTTCGACGAACCTCCGACTCGGCCCCTCAAGCAAAGCTGCCAAATGTATTGCTCGTCTGATTTGGTCTCATGGTTGATCTACTGTACCATCTCGCGGTGCCTCTAGATCTCGTCCATGCTTCTACCCGAGGAGATGAATCGCGCAGATGATGATGGGCTAACTGAGGAGGTGATTTTTGACGACCGATGAGTCGAAGTGTAGAGGGTACCAGAGCGTAATCAGACTCAACGCGGGTAGTCCGATAGGATCAATCATAATTGATTTGTTTGGTCCTGTTTATCTGTTCTTGGTTTTCGTTGTTCACTTATTGCTTCAATATTTTATTTGCATCATTGGCCTATTGCGCCGTGCGATACGTGAATAATTATCACCATAATGTTGTTCGCTAATGTCTGTACCTAATGCAACCTTTATGCGCGTCGTTTCAGTGATGTGGGGATCTACGATCGGATCGTTATTCAGGAACTGATAAAAAATATGGCATCCACAGCCCAGTTGGATAGTAGCCAGCAGCGAGACTTTAAGGTGGTGGTACTCCACGAAGCGGATCATTTGACCCGCGATGCACAACATGCTTTGCGTCGTACAATGGAGAAGTACATATCCAACTGCCGTTTAATCCTCTCGGCTGAATCTGTCAGTAAGGTGAGTCTCTTTGCGCTTGCGCTGTAGTCTGTTTGGAATTAACAGTTCGGCCATGGCCTTCGTTCAGTTTTTCCGTCCTCGCGATGAATGTGCACAAAACTATTTCCCAGTTGCCATACATACAAATATGTACATACCTTTTAAATAAGTACATGCTCATTCGTCTCAGTTGATGGTGGTGCAGAATTCTGAATAGTAACACAAATCCTCCTTTTTCATTTTACTTCTTTTTATTGAATACATCATGAAACGATTTTAAGGGAGTAGCGGCCACTCAAACAGCTGGCATGCAAAACAGAATAGGAAAATTCAAGTTGTTGGGGTGGTATTCGAACAGATGTCCTCCGGGGCCATAAGTAGGTGACTTTTATTTGTATTAGTATAGAATTTGCGTGAACAGATCTCCGTATTTCAGTCTAAAATCACACATCTCAGCAAAAGAGGGAAATAGTACAAGTAAAACATTTAATCTCAAGGTTGCTGAGAAATTCAGAAGAAACGCACTGTCGGTCTACAAGGATCCTGGCGAGATAGGGAACTGAGGAATCGATATGTAAAACGCGTAGATGAATGAGCGCAGCATTTGGATAGATCGCCATCTAAAGGATCAGTGGGGTTAGAGAAGATTTTCTGCGCAAGTTTCACATGCGGAGAAATGAAGTTCACACAGATTTTTAGATAAATCATCAATGGGTATAAAAGGTGCACGACTGATGATCGGCGAACCTCGGCTAATTATTTTGACGTAAACCAGCAAAAACGCATTGATGAAGAGAGAAGTGCTTTTTTGTTTTGAGTTGAACTGCCTAAGTCTTCGCTGTTGAACAGATAAGTTTCTGTACAGATTTGTAGAAATGGCATGTCCACTTTATGTTTGTATCAATTGTAACTCCTAAATACTTCAGGGAATCTACTATAGCTAGGGGATCTGTGTTTATGACCGAAGGGTTACCGGGATAAATAGATCGAGAGAGGATGAAAGTGCATTCGAAGCACTTGGATAAATTAAGAACGAACGGAAAATTCGTGGATATGCGATAGATTGTTCGAGTAATTTAGAAGGTCTTCAGGCACAGAAATGGCTTGGCAAAGGGCTACATCGCAACGTTTTTAAATAATTGGGCTGGAGAACTCGCTGACAGGTCACTGATGTAGGTGGAAAACAAAAGCGGCACCCTGAAGCACTTCCGAATTGTTCTCGAGCGGTTTAGAGGTTTTCATACCGAGCCGAGTATGCTGAGTTCTGTTTGTGAAGTAGTCAACGAGCCACGCCAGTAGGTACTTGGGACAGCCATATTATTCTATTTTACGAAGGAGGAGGTAACGTGGAACAGAGTCAAACCGATGAAAATCTAAGAAAACACATCTTACAGACTTCGCTGATGCGTCCAACGATTTTGCAACGTAATGACTAAGGGAGGGAGGATCTGTCTCATTTATACACGAACTGGAGAGGGTCTTCGGGGGTACTTTGAGATGTTAAGCGAGACCAACGGTGTTTCTCCGTGGTTATCGATTGCAACCTACCAATATTGTGAAACAAGAGTCAGCAGGTCACCAGTGGAACGTCGTTGTCGGAAGCCATACTGTCGGTCGCTCAGTAGTCCTTCACGTTCGTTGTTGGTCGAAGTTGTTGGTTTCAAATACTTCCAGGAGAACAGATGCGAGGGAAATGGGTCGGTAATTGTTGGGGTCAAAATTGTCGCTGAATTTAGGAATGGGAAAAATCATGGTATGTTTCCAGGCGGTTGAAAGAAAATCGGAGGGAAAGATGTAAAAGACGACGTAAGATAAGAGTCAGCTCAGGAGCACACATTTTAGGACGATGGGTGGAATACCGTCCGGACTGGGTGGTTGTTTGCGTCTAGAGAGCGCAATGTTTGACGGATCTTCCCAGTGCTAATATGAGGTAGAAAAGAGTTGCCAATGAAGTGCGAGGAAGGTGGAGGAGTAAAATAATCGGGTAAGGTGGAGTTGGCGGCAAACTTGGAAGCAGAAACCTCAGCTTCCTCGTGGGGTTGACATGAAAGAGTACCAAAGGAATTACAGAGAAGGGGAAAATTGGGAAGATAGAAATTATGGGCAAATGTTTTTTTTCAATTTTTTTCATTTTACTTCCTTTTATTGAATATATAAAGATACAATTTTCCGGAAGGGGTAAGGGGTAAGTGGCCAATCAAAGGGCTGCCATTCAACACAACGGGGAAAGTCAGGCGGTGGTGGTGGGGTTCGAACACATCCGCCGGGGTGATAATTTGGTGACGTTACCACCGGGCCACCAGCGACCAAAATGTTCCAAAAAAGAATAGTTGTCGAACATTTGTTCCTAGCCTGCACGAAGCCTTGTTGGGAGTCGGAAGTGGGTGAGCGGCGCCAGCGGCGGAAAGTTGAGCGTTTCAGGCGTACAGCCCGGTCAAATGCATGGTTAAACCATTCGGGGGATTAGGGCTTACCGGGTTTGGAAAAGCGAAGAATAAAAAGATGCATACCTTGACGAACCATATAGGTGAATTTGGAAGCAGATTTGGAAATGTCCAAAGAGAAGCAACAATCGTTCCAGGGATAAGGAGCTAGGGCATTACGGAAACCGTTCCAGTTGGTTGAGTTGTAGCACCAGAATGTGTGTTTCGAGGTGTGTGGCTTATCGGGGCTGGTAAACTTCATAGAGCAAGAAACAATGTAGTGGTCTGATGAACCAAGAAGAAGGAGGGTACAAATATCTGAGTCAAAGAGAGAACTAGATCAAGGGCGTGGGTATGGTAGCCAGCTCGATCAGGGACACGTGTGGGGAGGCCGACTAGTTGATCCAGATTGTTGACCAAAACGAAATGTTCGGCTTCGCACTCCAAAGAAGTAGCAGATGAATGTGTCAACCAATCCTGATTATGAATGTTACAACCTCCCAACATGGCAACATGGCAACAGGGTCGGTTGCAAACAGGTGTTGAATGTTTAAAGATAAAAATAAAAGATGGAGGAGTAGACACAATTGCAGAACGATATGGATTACAAACCTAATGATTAGAAGTAAATCGGAGCTTCAGTCACATCAGCTGTAATTCACGATTGGAAAATTCCAGATTTGGGATTATGCAGGCGGCGACTGATTGATGAATAAAGGCGCAAACACCGTCTTTGTGTAGAAAGGAGGAGTGGAAAGTGTAGTTTGGTGGTGTCTGACGAAGGGGAGATTAGTGTTTCGGTAACAAAAGAATGGAAGGAGAGAAAGAATGGAGATGTTGGTGTACAGAATCCATGTGGCGCTTCAGTCCGCGAATGTTGAGGAGGCTGATGGTTTCTTGCTTCCAGTGTGAGTGCGTAGAGTGAGCAAGAGAGCTTGAGCATGTGCAATTTTGCATTGTCATGTTTATATTGTGAGATGGCAACTGGCAACTATGATCCTGAAACTTGGAGTGGAGGACCACATAAGGTTTCAGTAGATCAGACGTGGTAGTGAGCCGGGCAACGGCAGAACCGCTTACCAACAAGGGGTTGTAAATATACACCATTAAGTATCTTTACCGGATTAAAATGACGGCAATGTGATAGCGGTTCATTGTAGAAAACAACTATTTTGCGTGCTCGCCGGTAGCCTTTATACTGTGCCCTATAAACGGTTCTTAATAAAGTGACTTGGTATACTAATGAGAATTCCTGGGTAACCGCACGGAAAGGCTAATGGACGAGAAAATGGATGGTGTTTTTGTTGAGGCCAAATACATTATCTAAGTAATCAGCTATGGAGATGGTCTTCGACTTCTGTGTTTGTATATGTCGAGTCCAGTGTTTCTTTTTTTCAATATGTTCAGTACTGTGTATCTAGGGCGATTCCTTGAGTTGTCGTTCCCCGGTGAACAATATTTTTTTGTTGTTGATCAAGTTCAGCAGCTAAATGTTCAGTTGCTCGAAGACTTGTTATACTATTTCCAAACCGGGTACAATATACTGTTTTTTCATCTGTGTGCTAGATTATTTCAGCCACTCGTTCTCGATGCCTCCCGATTCGTGTTCCTGCACCGTCGGTTGAGCAAATTAGCACCATATTGCGCAATACAGCTCGTCGAGAGGGGCTTTCTATGCCGGTTGAGTTGGCCAGTCGTATAGCAACTGCGTCAGAACGAAACCTGCGTCGTGCTCTTTTACTCGCAGAAGTGGCCAAATGGCAACATAGTCCAATGCTGCCTGATCAACCAGTACAACTTCCGGATTGGCAAGTTTTTCTTGCGGAAACAGCGTCGGCAATCCTAAGTGAACAAAGTCCCAGAAAGTAGGTTAAAAGTGTTGTATATATTTTCGTTGTTTTTTTGCAATTCTTTGTTAGCACTTCATAACAGAAAATCCATGTATGTGCTTAGCTCGGCTTTTGTTTCCTCATTCCTAAAAGCTCCAGTTTATTGAACTCTAGGTATTAATACCGGTTTGAATAACTCTGAGGTATCATTGCCAAATATTGCTCATTTATTTTCTTTTCTCATTCAACTGGATCCTAGAATCATGGAAGTTCGCAATCGCTTGTATGAACTTTTGTGTCATTGTATCCCGGCTGATGTGATCATGCGAGTAAGTCGTAATTTGGAGATTTATTGGATTTATTGACACCGGTTATTTACACCATCAATGTTTGCTACTTATATTTTATTAGTAAGCTAAATGGTAATCACAATTTAGTCCCTAATCATCTTGACTATCAACGTCTTTTCATGGGTGTGTGACAGGGTGTGCAAACGCATGCATTTTGAAAGTGATCCTGGTCTTCTTCAATATTCAAGGCTGACACGAAACAAATGACGTAGATATGCTTCGGCCTTAAAACAGTACTCTCTATTCCATTTCTGTGACTTTGACCGGTTGGTTTTGGTTGCAGTTTCGTTAATCCGTTCAAATATCTATCTATTGGTAACCGCTTATCTCCAGCACGTCATCTGATTTATTTGCTCAAAAGGTAATCATATAGCTTAGCGTGTTATTTAAGTCTCAGCAGACACACGTCAAAGGAACAGTGAAATAGAGAAACTTGACCATTTTGGTTGACACGCGATTAACTGATCCTCGTTGTGTAAATTTTCGGAGATTGTTTTTACACTCCCACACAATGCGGGTTTTTCTATCACTATTGGCAGCCTGAGCAACTTGATTCAGTGGTAAACTGTCATCGTTTTTTCACCACAGGCCATGCTATTTTGATTGCGTGATTATTAGTATGTTGTCTTGTTGTCTTCACATGTTTTGATTAGGGTTTGCTATGTCAACCGTTGACTGTCTTTCAGGGAGTCTGTAGGACAGTTCATCTAGGCTATTGTAATCTATCTTACAGTTGTAGCCATTACCGCATTTCAATTTGGTTCACTTCATTTAACTTTTGACAGTGATTAATTGCACATTTTTCTCTTTTGATTTTTGGTGCAAAGTGGAGCCGCGAAAAAATTTCTTTTCCTGTGAGTTAAATTTTAAATGGGAATTCGTCGTGTATATAGCAAATGAAGCGTGAACTGAAAAGCTCGGAAGCACTGGACAGCTGTTTCGACCTGGTTGGGTCTAATCAGCAGTGCGAATCCATCGACCCGACTGGGGATCGAACCCGGGACTTCATGGGTAGAACGCAAGCGTGCTCCCCCCTACGC